AAAAAAAAAAAAAAAAAAAAAAAATATATATATATATATATATATATTAGTTCTAGCTATTGGCTAAATGCTCTGCAATATTTGCTCTCTCTGGATGGCTTGCTGCTGAAGTTGCTCTTTTCTATGTATGCCCTTGTTAAATTAGGATATGTTAGTAAATGTCTTTTTTTTACCTGAAGCATGTTGTATTTTTCTTTTTCTTTTTGAAGTAACCAGAATGCTTGATTTGGATGTTAAAAATCACAAATCCCCCCCCCCCCCCCCCCCCACACACACACACACAGCAAGCATTATAGTTCATTTACTTTATAAATATGTAGCCTTTTCATATAGAGACACGTTTTCGTTGTGAATAAATGTTTCTGGATGTAGAGAATGACAGAGATTAAACGTTGAATGTCAGCCATTCAAAATGAAAATTAAAAAGAAGTCAGCTGCTACTCTTACTAGTCAGGTGAACTGCATAAGGTTCAAACAGGTAGTAAGGTTCAGTTATCATTCATAAGCTGGCTGGGCTGGGTTGGGGGTGGGGGAGCAGAAAGCAACTCTGGGAGGGAGGACAAACTGTAATCAGGACCAGGCCTGAGAGTACAGAGCCAGCCTCTGCGCTGGCCCTGACTGGGTGATCAGAGACATCTTTATGTGGTTACAGGAGGGTTGATTAAGTGGCAGCTTAAAAAAAAAGAGGTTATGGAAGATAAAAGAAGCAGAAAATGAAATTTAATTGTAAGTTGAATGGATGGAAAGGAGTCGAGGGTGGGTGGGGGTCTGTTGGAGGGGAACAGAAGAAGCTGAACAGCTGCATTTATGCTTTTTATTTTACCACTGGAAAGTTTCCTGGTGATAAGTCAAGTGGAAATGATAAGCTACATTGCACAGAAAATTCCTCCCATCTTTCGACCAGCTCTTTGTTGCAGCCGTGCTTCCTTTTGACCGCGTGCCTCGCTTCCACTGAAATACATAACACAGACTCCCAGGCATGACGTATGTCTGTGTTTGCATGCCTGTCCTTCTTGTTGATTAACTCCTATCATCCGTTGCACCTACCTGGGCAGGAGGAAGACCGAGGGTCTAAAACCTTTAAACATCCTCTAAACACTGGGGCCTTGATGATGCCATGAAAACCAGCTTTGCTTGTTTTTGCCTGCTTCCAACTCCCATCATCATCATGACCAAACGGAAAAACGGGATAATGGAAGTGGAGTAAAACGGCATTGAGTTCCTTCATGTGTCTCTGTGAATTCCAGTCAAGTGTTTGAAAGCAGCAGTGCACTAGAGAGTGAAGGAGTGAGGTGGATCTGGAGAGAGAAGCCTCTGATTTATGTTGCTGGCATGGAAGAAATGTGTTTATCTACTGTTCTGCAGTGTCACGTTAGGATGTTTCTGTGAGGCAGCCAGCCACTGTATGTGTTTAGAACAAGAAGGGAGGCTGAGAGGACCCAGCTCTGCATGCCAGTTCATTGCATGCAAACTGTGTGATTCACAAAAGAAAGAAGAGCACGGAGTTTGATTTACAAGACACAGTGCAGTGTAGTTTCCCATGGCCTTGACAGCTTTAGATCTGCACTGATGAAGCCTGCCGTGGCTTAAAACTCCCAGATGGATTGTGACCAGTTTATTGTGGGTTTCCAAATTTCAAGAGCAGGTTTTAAAGAGCAAGGGCCCCAGCCAACAATGAATTAATTCCATTTATGTCCTCAGTTTGATGCAGATTGAAAGGCAGTGAAACATGCTTGAGAGTTAATTATTAAAGTATCAAATAATTCATTAGCATCAAGCTGCAGCCATGAAGTGCATATAAATTATCTCCAGTTCCCAAATACAAACAAAAGAACAGATCTGTCATGAGTGTGTACTACTAAAAGAGCATGTTTTTATTACCTTCCCAAAAGCTTTGCTCTCTGCTTCCTGCTGGGATTTCTTCGACACTCAGCACTTCATAAATACAAGTCAGTATGAGCACAGAGACCTCTTTTAAGAGTGCCTACTGAGAAGCTTCACAGAAGAAACTGTTGTTTGTGATGTTTCGTTCTCAGCACTCAAATTAATATTGCTCTTTGATGTTCTGTTTTTTTCTTCCTGTCTAATCTTTTTCTATCTTTGTCTTCCTTTTTCCCGTAGCCGAGCTGAACGTAGATCTCTTTCGTCCCCTGAAAATCAGTCCCACTTTGGCAAAGCTGGAACAGGCCAAAGCCTACCTGCAGAAAGTGCTGCCAGCCTCCACCGGGGACACCTCCAGTAAACCACCGTCTGCTTCATCCTCTCCTCAACCATCTCCTAAAAAGACTCCTCACAGGGTGTTTCCTCCTCGTTCTGACCCGCACCACGAGGCCTCGGCCCAGAGTACAGGCAGTTCTGTAAGGGCTCTGGCACTGTCCTTTCACAAGATCTCCCTTCACACAGCACAGATTGTTGTTGTCATGGAGACAGAAACCCATCCAATGAGGCCCAACATCACAGTATCATTATCGGGCTTGACAGGAAGTCTCAGCATGAAGTCGGGGCCTAAGGTAGAAGGTAAGTAAAGTACTACGATGTATTTTTTTGTCCCCAAAAATGTAAAAATGCAACTAAGTATTCTGTGTGTTTGTGCTGACAGATGTTTGATTTCTCAACCTCATAACAAACCTTACCTAGAACAACTCGTTACTATTTCTGGTTTTATACCTTTTAAAACACCAAACAGATTATGTATGTAACATCTTATTCTGTTTAATTATGACATCAATGCCACTTTTTTTTAGGGACAGTCTCATAATATGTGGAACTTTAGAGTAATCTATAATGACCTCCACAAATGGCTAATTTTCTTGTTTTAGTGAAGTGCACTAAATAGTTAAAGTAGTTCACAGGAAGCTTCAAATAATCGACACAAAATGTACAGGGAAGGATACTGGTTAATGTGCACATCTGTCAAGTCATACCTTCATCTTGTATTTAGCACTTGTCATTTGATACTGGCTCGTTTGTGTCATGCACTTGTCACTCTTCGCAGCAGCTCCTTGTGACCCTGCACAGAATCATGCTGTGCAACTTTTCTTTCTTTGCTTGATTTCAAATGATCTACTTTGTATTTGCCGAGTGGTTTTTCACAAAATATGATTGCCAGACACAGACTCTGAACAGTGCAGGCTGTTTGTAAGGATGTAACACATAGAAAAGTATATGTGCATAAATACAGGTTTTAGTGTTTCATTCATTAAGTGTGTAGATCATTTGTTTTTTTGTATATTTTATAGTCAAATATGTACTTTAACATTTGGTTTTGGACTCGTACTGAATAAAACAAGAAAAAAAGCAGTCATAGTGATGATATGGGGCCCGCTGGGGGCAAACCTGAAGAGTTATTTTTAAGGTGTGTGTGTTTGATTCCATGGATATGAGCGTGTCAGGACCTCAGACAGAGTTGTGTGTGCGTTAATATCGGAGCGTGTGTAAGAGTGTTTGTTTTTGCTTGAGAACCAAACCCTGCCTTCATCAACACTGCCTGTTATCCAGGAGGCATCGTAGTGTTTCCATTATGACAATCAGAACTGCTAATGCTAATGTAAATGAAAAGGCTTCCAGTTTCTCTCTGCCTCTGGGTGTGAGGCGGCCTGGTGTAGCAACTCACCAGGGCTTTTGAGTTTGGTTTTCACATTGTGTTATTCCTCGGCCTGTCTTTTAACTTGGACATTAGATGACAACAGAAGGATGAAAGGCAGCACTGAGCTGACGTGCCAAATGTAGAAGATAATGAGGTACACTTGGACTTGTAATTTAGCAAGTGAATGGTTTATACCTCAGTGCCACTGAGCAAAACAACCTTAGTTGATGGGGGTTCGAGGACAGAGCTGGAGCAAGGCTCCCAAAGTGCCTGCATCTGTTTTACAGATGTTGTTAATATTGGGTTACTGCAGATAAAATGATTGTCAAAAATGTTAATTAAAACCTCAAACACTTTGCAGTGTGTTTACTCAATTCTACATAACTGCACAGTGACACAATCCTCCATGTTTCTGCTCCCTTCTGACTTTCACCAGCTTTTCAGCTGTTGTCCATCTTTGTTGTGCTCACTTTGAAAAACACAGTCGAGTTTTGTGTGTGTGTGCGTGCGCGCGCACGCGCATGTGCGTGTGTGCACTCACAACTCGGAGAATTATGTATACAGCCAATTGTGCTAATATGAAAGCCATATTTTTTTTTTATGTATACCTTTCTGTGGAACAAAATACTTTTCAAGAGGTCTTTGATTTGTTCACATTAAACACAAGAAGTGTAGTGAACTATATCACCTGATGGCAAATGCAGTCAGTATCTTTGCCTGTGTGCGCATGTGTTTGTGTGTCTGTTTTCATTAAGAGCTAACTGTCTATAACTGATTAACTTTTAGAGGCAATCCACGTTAAGAGAACCACCACAGCCAACTCACAGTAGAAAATACAATCAGCTTCACATGGATGTATCTAAATGTGTTGTGGTAGTAGTTGATGGTCATTCATAACACATGAGCACAGTTACTGTGCAGAATATTTGCTTAAAACCTTGACATAATTATTTGAGAGAACATTTTTCTGTCTGTTAACAAAATATCTAATAATCTACTGAGTAGATTTTAATGAAACTTTCTGCTAAAGCTAATTAACTTTAACCAACACAAAACAGCGATACCTCAGATTTACATACACTGAGCTAAAATCCTGCTGTGGAGGTAGCTCACAGTCAAAAATGAAATAATTTCTAGTCCAAAGGAGGGCATTGGCCTGAAACGTCAATTTGTACAGTTGAAGCTTTACTGGTGTGCAGACCTTTTAAATTATATTCTTGCATGATCTTATTTCAAATATTTAAGAGAGATCCTCAAAAAACATTTGAGCATGACATCTTACAGTATTGGGTTGCTCATGCAGTTGATTTGAAGGTTTGACCTAAAGGCTACAACTCCTTCATTCCTGGGTAACTTGGTTCCAAAATTTTGGCATTAAAAGTTGTAGGCAATTATGTTTTTATGATCATACTGAAGCAAAGCTCTTTGGTTTAAGAAGTGCTATTTTACTGCACACCAACAAATAAATGAAAAACAATGTGGAAAAACTAAAATATATAAATAAATAAAAAACTTGTAGGGTTATTGTGAACAAGACAATTATATATTTTTAAAAAATATTCATATTTTTTTTAATTTTTTTTATGACATCGTTCTCTGGAACAACTAAAGAGTTCAGAAGCCTTTCAGAATATTTTGTTTTTATTTATTTATTCGTCCATCCATTATCTTTACTCGCTTCTTCCTTTTCGGGTCACGGGGGTCACTGGTGCCCATGTCCAGCCATCACCATGTGAGAGGTGGGGGACACCCTGGACAGGTCTCCAGTCCAACACAGGGACACATAGAGACAAATGAGACAAACATCCATTCACTCTCTCACACCTAGAGACAATTTCGAGTTACCAATCAGTCTACTATGAATGTTTTTGATCTGTTGGATGAAACCAGAGTACCCGAAGAAAACCCATGCAGCACGGAGAGAAAATGCAAATTCCAGAAAGACCCCTGGCCGGGATTTGATCTGGCAACCTTCTCACTGAGAGGTGGCACCTCTACCAACTGAGCCACCGTGCTGCCCTCTTTATTAATGCATTTAATTATTAGTTAATTCATTCATTTGTTTGTTTTTTGTTCCTCCTCTCTGAAACATACATTGATATAATTTACACCTCCAAATGTTGACACTGCTCACAGAAAACAACTATTTTTAAGTGTGACGCAGTGTTCCAAAGAACAAACATCAGAAGCTTTGCTCCTGAATGACACGTCAGACTAACCCACTTTATTTTTATTTTGTAGTTGTTGTTGATCACTTAAACACTCATGCAGAACTTTGTCACAACACATACGGTTCCTTTCCCTAAGGGCTCCTTCAGATAATGTTTCCAGATTTGCTGGCATTGAAGGGAGACAAACTGTCTCCAATTACACAGACTGATCTTTGATGACAGTAGATGTATCTGCTGACGTTTAGCCTTGACTGCACTGCGTCCATCACTCACCGCTCTGCTCTTTGCCGTACCAAAGAAAATGGATACCCAGAGTTTTTGCCAGAGATAAAGGTCAAGATTCTCTTTCGGTAAGGTTGAGCCTTTGAGCTGCCACAATAAGTCAGTGGAAATGACCCCCCTGGGAGTGGCTATACATGAGATGTCAGACAGGGGAATGTACTTCTACTACTGCTACAGTGTGTAACACTACTGTTGCTGCTGTTGTTTCTCTGTTGGTCTTCTGTGGCACACTGAGAATGATAGACTGTATCCTGAGCAGACTTGAAGTTTCTGTCGGGGCGTAAAACAAAAAGCAGGAGTGGGAAGGAGAGAAAAAGAGATGCAAAGGGATTTCAAATGATTATGTAAATAAGTAGTGGATGAAGAAAAAGAAGTATTGAGGAAGAGAATGAGTCAGGAAAAAGGGACAAATGGGCCATTGAGGACAAATGTGTAACAATCAAAGTTGTAAAGTAGAAAAGACAGAGTGATAAATAAAGTATGAAAAGAGAGGCTGGGTAACACCGGACATACGAGGAAACTGAACACTACTCTGAATGATCAGTGCGCACAGTTCCTTCTGCAGATGTCTTTACAATCACCCCATTCCACCCTGTATTCATCAGCAAACATTCATAGCTGCCACCCGTCCCACCCCCTGGTCCACGAAACATCTGGGGATCTGTACCTGGTCATAGCAGCCCCTTGGCCAGGGGACAAGATGGAGAGAGGGGGGATTAAGTTGACAGTGAGGTGTGTTACCAGATCCTGTGTTAATGAAAAGCAAGTGGAAGCCTTACATTCCTCCCTCCATCCATGGTTCACCACTCCCTAAGGTAGGGGGGCATTTATAGTTCAGTCAAAGAGAGGAGGGGAGTGGGCAAAGGAGAGAGAACAGATGTCCAAGGGTCCATGAAACAGGACCCTCCCTAACCCTATTCTCCCAGCTCTCTCTTACTGCCCATACAGTGCCCGTGACTTTAGAAACACACACACACACACACACACACACACACACACACACACACACACACCAGCACAGCCTGAAACTATTGCACATTATTCAGAAACACACGTGCAAACTTTTCTCCTTGGTCTTTTGCTTCTGTAGACCTCCTGTTTCTTCATGTCTTCATGGTGATTTACTCCAGCAGTTTTGCAAAGGAAAACTTATTTTTTGGGAGGAAACACCCTAAGCTGCCCATTATTTATGCCCTCCACTTTAAAATTCCAGCATTTTTCCATTTCCCAAGCCCATCTGCAAATTACAATCCATCAGTTTGTTTACTCTACTCAATTAAAGCTATTTTTGCCCATTGTAGTCAAAGAAATGTAAAAATGAGGAAAGCCAGAACAGTATGAGTTATAACAATTCATCCTGCATAGGTATGGCAAGCTAACCTAACAAACTGTTATCAATACATCATTAGTAATATAAAAATAAGTCAAAACCAAGTTGGGGGTGGGGGGCAATTCAGTTACTAACTCGTGCAGCAAAGTTAAATGTATTTGGAGTTACGGTTATAGAGTTTAAATTAGTGTAGCGAGGAACTGGCATCATAACATTGAAACATTAGAAGAAATGCCGTCATTTGTTCTATGTCTAAAACTGAGTTTAATTCAAATATCACTAACTGCTGTATAACATCATGTCTAAAGTCATACCTATATTTAGTCACATGTGTTTTTGATTATATTTAAAGACATTAACTTATTTCCCTGCAAAGCATTTCTAATATATATATATATATATATATATATATATATATATATATATATATA